AGCCTCCTCTTCCTCATACTGAACAGCCCCAGCTCCTTCAGCCGCTCTTCATATGATTTGTCTTCCAGGCCCTTCACTAGTTTCGTTGCCCTCCTCTGCACTCGCTCCAGCACCTCGATATCTCTCTCGTATTGAGGTGCCCAAAACTGGACACAATACTCCAGGTGTGGCCTCACCAGTGCCGAGTACAGGGGCACAATCACCTCCCTACTTCTGCTGGTCACACTATTCTTGATACAAGCCAGGACACCGTTGGCTTTCTTGCCCCCCTGGGCACACTGCCGGCTCATATTCAGCCGCTTGTCAATTAGAACCCCCAGGTCTCTTTCCTCCAGGCAGCTCCAGCCACACTTCCCCCAGCCTGTAGCGCTGCAGGGGGTTATTGTGGCCCAAGTGCAGGACCTGGCACTTGCCCTTGTTGAAACTCATGCCATTGATGTTGGCCCAGTGATCCAATCTATCTCGGTCCCTCTGTAGGGCTTCCCTATCCTGGGAGTCAACACCCCTGCTTAAGTAAGAAACAGCCTTACTCCTACTCCGGACTCGAAATCCAAGGGAAAGTCTTTTCCAGAGAACCATCCAGCTGCAAAACATCAGTGGCTTAAGCCTCTAATGCCATGAGCTCCTCTGCTCCTCGCCTGTCACTGTGGTGTAACTTCTCAGTCCATGAGCTCCTGCCTTGACCTTGTTCTGGCGAACTCCCCGTCGCCCGGGGCAGCGGGTGTTTAACGGCTTCTCTCTCAAAGCAGCCCGACAAGAAGAAATGCTGCGGAACGAGTCTCCCCTGTTTCCCAAAACACGCAGGTCCCAGCCTGTGGAGAGATGAGCCTTGTTACCCAACCTGCCTCGGAGGCCGCAAACCTCTCCAAAACCAGCCCCAAAGTTTAAATCGCCCCCCTTCCCTGGTGCTGGGGTTTCTGTAACACCGTGTTTCCAGGGAACGTAGAATCATAGAATTTCGCAGGCCGGAAGGGACCTCGCCCCCTTCCCTGGTGCTGGGTCTCTGTAACACCACATTTCCAGGGAACGTAGAATCATAGAATTGCCCAGGCCGGAAGGGACCTCCAAAGGTCATCTAGTCTGACCTCCCCGCAGTCAGCAGGGACACCCCCAACTAGACCAGGGTGCCCAGGGCCTCGTCGAGCCTCACCTTGAATATCTCCAGGGATGGGGCCTCAACCACCTCCCTGGGCAACCTGTTCCAGTGCTCCACCACCCTCACAGTGAAGAACCCTCTCCTCATCTCCAGTCTAAATCTGTTCCCCTCCAGCTTAAAGCCATTTCCCCTCGTCCTGTCACTACAGGCCTTTGTAAACAGGTTCTCCCCAGCCTTCCTGTAGGCTCCCTTCAGGTACTGGAAGGCTGCTGTTAGGTCTCCCCAGAGCCTCCTCTTCTCCAGACTGAACAACCCCAGCTCCCTCAGCCTGTCCTCGTAGCAGAGCTGCTCCAACCCTTGATCATCCTTGTGGCCCTCCTCTGGAACTGCTCCATCAGGTCCATATCTTTCCTATATTGAGGGCTCCAGACCTGCACACAGTACTCCAGGTGAGGTCTCACCACACCTGTGAGGTTTCTTATATTGTGTTCCAGTTAAATACATAACTCCAGCTCAACCACAGCTTTGCTTGGATTAAAGTTGTGAAGACACGTGGACACCTTTCTGCCTCTTATAGCCTAATTAGTGTCCTGTAATTGTGTTGTGCAGCAGAAACACAGTAACTTGAACATAAGAAGTTCCACCTAAACATGAGGAGGAACTTCTTTCCTGTGAGGGTGGCAGAGCCCTGGAACAGGCTGCCCAGAGAGGTGGTGGAGTCTCCTTCTCTGGAGACATTCAAAACCCGCCTGGACACGTTCCTGTGCAACCTGCTCTGGGTGGACCTGCTTTGGCAGGGGGTTGGACTAGATGATCTCCAGAGGTCCCTTCCAACCCCATGTGATTCTGCAACGAAAAGGTATTTCCTAACGCTGGGAATTTAAGGGTGACTCCTGAGCAACCTGGTCTGGTGGGAGGTGTCCCTGCCCACGGCAGGGGGGTTGGAACTCCATGATCTTTAAGGTCCCTTCCAACCCGAACCAGTCGATGATTCCTGTGAGTTTCGGTCTAACCGGAGCGGTGAACCCTGGCTCCCATTGTTTAAGTAGGAGCTGGAAGCTCTGGCCGCGCTGCCAGAGAGCTCAGCCCTCTGTTTTCCAACACGTTGCTCATTTCTGAGAGATTTTGCCAGTAACAGAATTATCAAATCCAGATGCCGCGTTTGCTGAAGACCTCGCTTTTCTCCATACAAAAAGCCTCGCGCTGGCTTTAATGCTAATCCTATAGAAATCAAGGGGATTTGGGACACTTGACTAAATATGTTTTGCTACGGGCTGTTGCTTCTGGCTGGTGGGGGCTGCCTGGGGCTCCTACCCTAATTAGCATGGTTCAGATTTCTATTTAACTCCCTCTCATCCGCACCGGCATTTATGATAAAAGGCTGAAGAGTGACTTGAAGATGCAAAGTTTCTTTTTTTCCCCAAGATGCACGTTTACAGAATCACAGAATCTTCTAGGTTGGAAGGGACCTTAAAGATCATCTTGTCCAACCATCACCTTAACTAAAAAAAATAGACACCCACACAACAAACAAGGAGCATCATCACTAAACCATCCCTCCCAGCACTACATCAACCCGTCTTTTGAACCCCTCCAGGGATGGTGCCTCAACCACCTCCCTGGCAGCCCATTCCAAGGGCTGATGACCCTTTCAGTGAAAAAATTTTTCCTAATATCCAGCATAAACCTCCCCTGGTGTTACTTGAGGCCTCTCACCCTGTCACATGTGACGTGAGAGAAGAGACCAACGCCCATCTCTCTACACCCTCCTTTCAGGTAGTTGTAGAGAGCAATAAGGTCTCCCCTCAGCCTCCTCTTCTCCAGGCTGAATAACCCCAGCTCCCTCAGCCTCTCCTCATAAGACTTCTTCTCCAGACCCCTCACCATCTTTGTCGCCCTTCTCTGGACCTTCTCTCCAGCACCTCTATGTCTTTTTTGTGGTAGGGGGCCCAAAACTGGACACAGTACTTGAGGTGGGGCCTCACCAGTGCCGAGTACAGGGGGACCATCACCTCTCGGGCCCTACTCACCACGCTGTTCCTGACACAGGCCAGGATGCTGCCACAGGTTCCACACAAGGTGGTGTGTGTTATGGGCGTAAGCGAGGAGAAGCCCGGGGATGGGCCCCACATCTGCATCCCTGGGAAACGTAACTGCCCTTCGGGGAGCAGGGGCAAGGAGGAGAGGCCTTTCTTTAACTGAAAAGCTGGTCAGCGTAAGCCATATTTTAATTCTGCAACTAAATGAAAAGCTAAACTAATCACCGAGCAGAACTAATTGCTCTTTCAAGTGAGCTGGTTCATGGGGCTTGCCCTTCATGTGGAGAAAGCCGCTGTGAGCCGAGGGGAGCTGCTGTTGTGCTGAGATCACAACCCGCTCCCCAGTATGGACCTCAGTTCCCCCAGCACTCAAGCACTGGGAGTCACCTGAGTCTTTGTGGTAACTCAGCTGGATTGGAGCAGGGACACCTCCAAACTGAAATGATTAACTGTTTAGTACGTTACAGAATCACAGAATGGTATGGGGTGGAAGGGACCTCTGGAGATCATCTTGTCCAACCCCCTGCCAAAGCAGGTCCACCCAGAGCAGGCTCCACAGGAACATGTCCAGGTGGGTTTTGAATGTCTCCAGAGAAGGAGACTCCACCACCTCTCTGGGCAGCCTGTTCCAGGGCTCTGCCACCCTCACAGGAAAGAAGTTCCTCCTCATGTTTAGGTGGAACTTCCTATGTTCAAGTTTGTGCCCATTTCCTCTTGTCCTGTCACTGGGCACCACTGAAAAAAGACCAGCCCCATCCTCTTGACACCCTCCCTTTAAGTATTTATAGGTGTTGATCAGATCCCCCCTCAGCCTTCTCTTCTCCAGACTAAAAAGACCCAAGTCTCTCAGCCTTTCCTCCTCAGGGAGATGCTCCAGGCCCCTCCTCACCTTTGTAGCCCTCTGCTGTACCCTCTCCAGCAGTTCCTTGTCCTTCTTGAACTGGGAGGCCCAGAACTGGACCCAGTGCTCCAGATGGGGCCTCACCAGGGAAGAGCAGAGGGGCAGGATGACCTCCCTCAACTTGCTGGTCACGCTCTTCTTGATGCACCATTGGCCTTCTTGGCCACAAGGGCCCATTGCTGGCTCATGGACATCCTATTGTCCACCAGGACTCCCAGGTCTTTCTCCTCAGAGCTTCTCTCCAGCAGGTCACCCCCAACCTGTCCTGGTGCAGGGGGTTATTCCTCCCCAGGTGCAGCACTCTGCACTTGCCCTTGTTGAATTTCATCAGGGTCCTCTCCACCAACTCTCCAGCCTGTCCAGCTCTCGCTGTATGGCGGCCCAGCCTTCAGGTGTGTCAGCCACCTCTCCCAGTTTTGTATCATCACCAAGCTTGCTGAGGGTACATGCCATCCCATACCTACAAGTCAAGGAAACAGCTGCTGGGCAGGAATATCTGACCTGGCTTGAAAAGTGAAACGATGTTTGCGCCGAAGCACAGGATAAGCCGTGACATTGCACAGATACAGGTGGTTTAAAATGTTTTAAGATTTCCATGAAGCTTTGTTCCAAACAGCTCATTCACCCACCAAGTGTTTAAATCACATTATTCAATGTTTTCACAAGTTGCTAAATAGAAAATGCACAGGTCAGAGACCTGCTTGTGCCTGTGGGAAGTAACTGCGTTGTGTGCTCCTCATGGAGTGTCCAGGATGTGCAACGAGAGGGGAAAACCCCCCACGGACTCGGTGCACTGAGACATCTGTTCACAGAAACTGCCCACAAACCAGAGACACAGGGTTACACAACATATTTGGCCAAGAAAAAAAAAAACCATACATATTTAAGACTGATGATTTTTATGCTCTTTTTATTAATTTTTTTTCCAATTATTTTTTGGTTATTTCAATAAATTTAAGTAGGGGTCAAATGAAGACAAATAAAATGCATTCAAACCTTCAGTTTCTACCAATCATTGAATTACACTTGGATAAATTAGATTTTGCCTTAGCAAGTTATTAAGTATTTTGCAGCAGATCTACATTTTATGGCAGCCTGCATTTACCCATTGTGTGTCTGACCAAGAGGGAATTCCACATTTGAGAGACTGCAAGTGGGCACCACCAAAACTAAATATTAACTCGGATCCTTTATTAGATCCAGGTGCTGCTCCCTGCACTGAGAAGCCCCAAAAGTCCCCAAGCGTTGTCACAGTGGTGAGGAAAGCAACCCCTCAATTAGCCATTTGCACACAGACATCCCCCTCATTAAACTTCTACGTGTAAATCATAATCCAGGCACTCAAAAATAGTTTCCACAAAGCCCGGTGCCACACACTTCTTGAAGAACAGAACAAATATTTAATGAATTGAGAATGTTAAGTTTCTATGTTAAGAGCACAGTTTGCCTCTTTTTAACCAACCTCTTCTTCAGATAAGGCCTTGATCATCTTTGCTGTGATGTGCTGGTCTGATTTACCACAAATTCCATCTTCTATGTGGCTCCTGCTTGGCATTTCTTTTGGCTCTTTATGAATAGGCATGGCTCTTCCAACCACACACATCAGCTTTGTCTCCAGAGGACCCAGTTTTAAATATTCCTTAAGAAGAAAAAATATTATTCTTCTGCAATTACATCGAAAAGCAGCCATTCTTCAAAAAAAACCCCAAAAACCAGCAACTCTCCTTTTAAAAGCGATTGTACAGATGCTGCCCTAGGGTTGCTCTGTTTGGTAATGTCAGTGTTAAGGGTCTGGTTTGCAAGCCAGCTCATCTTAGGAGGTTGCAAGGCTGCTCACCTCCTCTTTTCCTCTGTGTTTTCACCAATAACTCTTTCTCCGCAAACCAAATCCTGCTCCCAAGAATTAAACTAATCCACCAGCTCACTACTGCCAAGAGAGAGAGAGAGGGCCAAGGCCAGCCATGTGCTTCCACCTCGTCTGTGCTGGCTCTGCTCTTCTCCAAGCCTCTGAGTTAATTTGGTTGACTAACCCAACAGCAAACTCATTCAGGAGGAGAAAAAAAAGCAAGCTTTTCTGCAGGGATCGTGAGCGAATCAGCTACAGAGAAGGCCAATGTGCCCTATGGGTTCCCTAAGGGCAGGAGCAGGACCATACAGGGCAGGAGAGGGAAGAAGGAACCTACAGTGGAGGCTCTTGAATCACCTCTATTTAATAATTGCTTTCAAAATAAATAGCTGCCAATGCAATGTCACTTCACAATGACACCTTGGTTGCTATAAAGGATGAGGATGTCAGCAGCACCTACGTCCCTCTGCAGCGCTAGAGCAGGAAGAAAGAAGCAAAGCTCATATTCCTCTCCCAAGGCAACAACTTGGACACAAATGCCTGGATAGGTCTTTTTTTTTTGTTAAATGCTCAGTTTTTCTAGGTAATGACTCATTAGAGCCTTTCCTTAAGTCAGTCTCTCCTCGAGGCAACAGGATGATTTCTCTGAACACAAGTTGCAGGGCATCAATCAAGCTAATGCCAAATTTCTAGAAAAAGAGTTGTTGTTTTTTGTGGATTTGTTGTTTTTTGTGGATTTGTTGTTTTTTGTGGATTTGTTGTTTTTTGGGTTTTTTTTGTTTTTTTTTTAAATTCATTATTGAGTATGTTTGAATAGAATATTCAAGAGTAAAGAAACATGGAGCAGCATCTACATGGCAACCCTGCAGTCTGCACCACATCTTTAATTTGCAGTAGAAATCGATGATGTGGAGTAATGTATTTTCTGAGAACAATTCGTTTATTTAGAAATACATTCACGTTTTTGTAACTCGAGTGTAGTATCAAAAGCACCCAGGAAACCCCTTTTTGCAACTGAGGATCGAGCATCTCCTGAAGCAAGTGCCACCACCTCTTTCAAAAACCACACAAAGTCTGCTTATTTACATATAAACTGTATCTTTCTGTTTTCTTAACCCCTGTACTTTGCATCCAGGACCACCTTCACCTTGGCTTGTTGTTGAAGGAGTAATTTACTTGTTGATCATAGAATCATAGAATTGTCTAGGTTGGAAGAGACCCTTGGGATCATCGAGTCCAACCATCTACCCTACTCTACAAAGTCCTCCCCCACACCATGTCCCTTAGCACTGCATCTAAACGTCCCTTAAACACAGCCAGGGATGGTGACTCCACCCCCTCCCTGGGCAGCCTGTTCCAATGCCCTGTCACTCTTTCGGTGAAAAATTCTTTCCTAATGTTCAGTCTAAACCTACCCTGTTGGAGCTTGATCCCTTAATGCTACTACGCAACATCCATTCTAAGCACAGGAGTCTGTGTGGTACCACAGAAAACTGTCACTAGGTGACATTCAGAATTCTTTCTAGGGGGGAATTTCATCCTGAAATCTACACATGCTGATTCGTAGGATGCTGTTCTATGTGTCTCATGCTACCAGAAATGCCCTAAGGCATCCAAAACATCCACGTGAGGCTGTATGACACAGAACCTGTGCTCTTTTGGCCCAGCCTCTGAAGGACAAAGGAGTGTAACCATCTCAAGTAGCACCAGACACCTACGATTAAGCACCTGAATTGTACACTATGAAGGTAAAAGACATTGGAGGTTTTTCTGCTGTAACACCACTGGGAATGGAACGTTCCTGGCAGTAGCTCATGCCCCACACTGTGAGCTGTTTGTGTCAGTGAAAGACCCAATTACTTAAACTCATACCTGGAAATCTTTTTCATCTTCATACAACAAGCCATCAACAGTTGGGGTGAGTGACCTTTCCCACAGCTCCTCATCACTGTCTTGAGGCTTCTCAAGTTCTGTTTTAGACTGAGCCTTTGGAAAGGCTTTTCTCTTCTGACAGGGGACCGTGGCACTTCTGACACTTTCATCTCCATCTGTCGTTGCTTTTTAAAGAGAACAATGAAATGTATGCAATTGTTAAGCTTTACGAAGATCAGAATTAGTCGTTGGTATGAACGTTGCCTGCCATTACCAGGGTGATGTAAAGAACAGCTTGGTAAGATTTTTAACTGTCAATCCAAGCCAAATGGTGATTTTGCTCACTGATTTTATTTCTGTTCACAATTTCTGATCAAGATCAGGGCTGAAATTGATGGGAAGTTAGAAGTAGGGGCTCTGTGGGATGAGGCAGGGGAAAAAAAAGAGATTTTATCAGTTCAACTTAAATCCTATGTAGTCCTGAACAGTTAAAAAAATAGAAAAGGCATCAAAAACAAGTATAAACTTTTTTTATATCCACGTAGGTATCTCTATATGTACATATATGCAAATTCCTGAAACACAGCTAGTCTACTTCTAACTCCCCTGAAGAGCTCACATTTGCAGTTGACTAATTCTCAGGGTGACAGAAAATTCTGGACGTGGGCTACCAAGTTATATGTTTGCCTGGGACGGCGACTTGGGAACAAAACCTGCTCTTCCCAGTAACTGTCATAAAGGTCTAGCAAAGGTAAGAGAGCTGAGATGTTCCAAGTAAACATAGGGCTAATTCAGAAGTCTTGGTCAACATGTTTGTTGGTGTCTGATGGTTCCAGCAAGGCCCATCTATGGCTGGAACTGATCAGAACTTCAACGGACTTGTCCACTGGTGGCTGTATGCCTTCAATTTTTGCAATTTACCTCTTTGATTTAATTTTGTTCTTTCCCCTCCTTCTGGTCTCCTTTACAAAGATGTAAAATAAAACATGTGATTCCAAGGAATCCACAGAAACCATCCTGCATAGATAAGTACATTCACATAGTCCTTCTTGCCTAATGCTATATCCTTTTCCTGGGCACACCTACCAGAGTAGGTAGAGATTCAGCCCAAAATTCAGTACTGCTTACCAAGATTTTCAGTTCAGGCTGAACTCCATGTAGCTTCATCTGCTCTTATAGAATCATAGAATCATAGAATGGTTTGGGTTGGAAGGGACCTCAAAGATCACCGAGTTCCAACCCCCCTGCCATGGGCAGGGACACCTCCCACTAGAGCAGGTTGCTCAAGGCCCCATCCAGCCTGGTCTTGAAGACTTCCAGGGATGAGGCATCCACAACTTCCCTGGGCAATCTCTCTTTCTAGAGATTTATTTAGAATTTAACTCCAGTGTGTCTCTAGGAACGGAATGACTGTAAAGTGCACCTACACTTCAAGAGGAAGCCAACGTAGAGTTTAAGAGTTGGCCTTTCAGTGACAAGAGATAATAATGAAGTTTTGTTGACACAGATGAGTAAATAACTGATTAAGTATATGAATTATATCTTTAGAAACAATGGCCAATCCTATAAACCACATTCCAGGCCAGCTCTATATGAGTAATTACATCCAATATTCTAAACACCAATTTAAATTATTACACTGTACTACAGGTAGATTGTGGCTTTGTCTTCTTAACGGAAACTACAGCCTAGCATTGCTGTGGTGGCTGAAATTAAGTGTTCACCATGTAAAACAGGCAGTTGGGTAAAAAAAAACTTAAGAAATGAAAAGTTTGTAAATGTTCCATGACTTATCAGCTCTTATAAGCATGTACATTACCTGCATACTCTCTATACTCTGCTTCTTGCATTTCATCCTTATGACATTCATCTTTCAAGCCCGCTGCCTGGGTAAGAAACAAATGCCTACAAAATTAAAAAAATAAAGTGAAATTCGTATTAGGGGTCTGAATTTTCTCTCAGAATTGTCCTGTGCAATCTCCTGGAGTGTGTGGGGAGGTACATACCCTTTCTGAAAGCCATTTGCTGCTTAACCACAAATGCAGAATAGCGCAATGGTTTAAAAATGCAAGGGAGGCAGCCAGGTAGCTTAGTGGCTAATATGCTGCTCTTTTTTTTTTTATTCTTAGTGCCTAAGTTCAACTATGTCCATGAGACTAAAAGAAAACAAATGTTATAGTCTCCAGTCAGTCCAAGATCCAAACCACAGCTGGCAGTTCTCACTTAAAAGCAATCCAAAGCTTGAAGAGGAGAGAAAAATGGTCACTTCTTAAGCCTTGGAAGTTTTTTATGCAATATGGCTGAAACCACTGAGCTGGGACTGGAAAATGAAGATAGATCATTCCCATTGTTACATTCTGCTTTTGATACCATTAGTGTTGACATTTTGCAGCTAAATTTATCTTTCTCTAGGGAGCAAGTTAAATAATTTCAATATAAAAGAAACTAAATACAAAGATATGCCTACAGACAGATCCACCCCAAGGCCTCTTCCTTACTCAGTACCAGGTTGTCTGTTTCACTGGAGATTGCAAAACCCCATATATTTGCATATTAATCTTCAAATCCTTAAACATGTATCCAACAGTAAAGACAAAAATCTATTAGTCAGCACTTGGTCTGAGAAGCTGGGTCTGAGGCAATTACAACAGAAAGAAACTATTTCCAAGCCTCAATGGAAAAGCGAGTGTTGCTAATTCATAATGGATTGTTAAAAGAACCCATTTTCTTCCCTGAATTGTGGTGTTTAGGAGGCTACAATGTCACCGTCATCCTTCAGACACACAAGTTCCACACATACTCAGTCAAATCCTGCCTCTCCTCAAGTAGGAATCTACCTTGGCTTTCTTGTGGTAAAGCCCAAATAGCTTTAGAGGAAGAAGGAGGAATTAACTTTTAAGAGCAAATTAATCACTTTTGAGTCTGCAAAGGCATCGTTTTACCTGGGTACTCTCAGATTCTGAAGTCTGCTATCAATCAGTTTTGTCACTAAACTGATATTCTCTTCTTCCAGGAGCTGAATAGAGGCTTTCAAATCACTTACTTCTTTTTGGTAGACCTTAACCTTTTGACAATTAAAAAAAAAAATAAAAAAAAGGATCATCTTAGAAGGATTATAGCCATTTTGGAAAGCTTTCATAGTAACTGTCCTAATAGCACATACCATCAGCAAGACTGTGCATTTGGTGGAGAAACATAGTGACATATTTTCAGGTGAAGAGAAAGGCCTCTGGTTCTCCCACACCTTTTTTAGAACCCTTTCCTGGCAGAACTCTGTCAATCACAGCCAGACCTTTGGGCTATGAAACCCTGAGAGCAGAACCTTCTCATGGAGCCAAGTGTCATTTGTCTAAATTCCTGCCTACACACAAAGCCTTCTTCTCCAGAATTAGTGGAGCTTTCAGTCCAAGTTAGCCACAATGTTGGCTAAACACCCGGTTCTACTTTCTTTTGGATTGCTGATCAACCCATATTGCCATGAAGTTATGGTAACCAACGGACACCAGTTATCCAGTTCCCACAGTCCCAGAATGATATGGGGTTGGAAGGGACCTCTGGAGATCATCTAGTCCAACCCCCCTGCCAAAGCAGGTCCACCTACAGCAGGTTGCACAGGAACATGTCCAGGTGGGTTTTGAATGTCTCCAGAGATGGAGACTCCACAACCTCTCCACAATTCCTCTTACTTTTCCTGAGGTACAAGCAAGTTCTTACCCCTTCACTGGGAAGTGGAATGTATGATGGGAAGAAATCTTAGCCATACGCACACATTTAAAAAACAACACCTAGTGATCTGAATGCATCTGTTCTCACCAAAGGCCAATTAACCCATCTATAATCATCCAAATTTGCAGTACCAAAGGCCATCTATAACCCATCTATAATCATCCAAATTTGCAGTTAAAAACTAGTTCCCATTTCTCCCAGGGATTAAAAAAGGTGAAAACGACAGGACATTAACCAGTAACAGGATGTGGCTTGGCACCAGGAGGTGATGCAGCTTTGCACCATCTTGGTGTGACATGCTAACCATGGAAAAATGTGACTGAAGTCTCCAAAGCCGTTCAAATTTGGAGGTAACTAGTTTAGGGCTGTTTTGGTAAGTCATTTTTCAGTTCAGTGGCCAAACTGAAAAAAAAATGATACATTTTGAACTGGGACAAAACTGAAATGTTTGGTTTATTTCCCCAGAAGAAAACACTGGAAGAGTCTGTCAGTTACATATAAACATTAGCCTGAAAGAAAATATTTCATCTGTATAAGAAAAGCACAGAAAATGAATGGGTGAATTGAGAGGACTGGAGAAATTAGTGATAATAGTTTTGTTTTCCACAATAATTCAAAGCACTAATTCATAACATAGAGAGGAAAGAAACCCACATCCCTCAACTCTCAGGAGAGGGCCTGTGAGGACATAAGGGTACTCCAAAATGGATCTCTCCTGTTGACACTGCCTAATGTGTGTAAAACTTGTAAGTGTTCAGTGAGACAGGGAGATGGGAAGGAAATTCATACTCATTCATTGGTAGGATGTATAGACTCAAGCTCCTGTTTGTTTATACAGATTAAAACATTAATTTTCTCCTACTGACCCCTACCTCATTGCCTCAGAATTCGTGGTTTGGACACCTTCCCTGGAAAGTTAAAGATGCAGGCTCAGAGCTCGTTAAGGGGAAGAAGGAAAGCCCTATCCCCGCGTACTGGCAAGTATCTTAAACTAGTAGGTAAAGAACAAAACTCTGCTGGGTTTGTTGATGTAATACTGAAAAATAAGTTCATTTTTTAATTTCCCAAAAGGTTTTGCTCAGTTCTAAACTGTGAGGTTGTAAAGGTGGGGAAGGGTATTTCCTCCCTCCAATCTCTTGCTTAGATGGGATGGCAACAAAGTATTGATTGGAACAAGCACAATCAGACTTTCATCGTGAAAAAATCAGTTTCCTAAATTTGGCTCACAAAAAACTATCTGATATATAGCTCTAAATTGCCATTAAAGGACAGTACAAAAGCTATTAAGTAATCAATTACAGCGATATATGATTTTGATTTTCCTCTCTTCAGTGTACTAATCTTTCTTTAGTATCTCCACTTAAAGCTGTCTCAAACCCTTTCTCCAAAAACGTTTCCCACATCCATATCCATTTTCTTTCAATGCAGCAGCACTAGAACTTCAATGCAATTCAAAACTACACTCTTCAGTCACTTACATGGTTGAGCCTTTACACTCTACTAATATTTTACACTATTTAGTATCCCAGTCTCCACAGATATAAATACTTAATTGTATGGAAAGTTGTAGTCCTTCCTATGACTGCTTGGGCAGGAAAATGGGTTCTTCATTTTTCACCTTTTACCTTTATTTGTCGAATACACTGTTGGCTGCTCAGGATTACAGATTAATTACAGGACAATTGCTCTCCTTTTCCTAAGAAAATCTTCAAAGGCTCCTCACCGGAAACACTGCATTTCAAACCTGAACCACCATGATAAACTGTGCGCAAGGGATCCTCTTACCTCTTCTTTTAGCCATTCGTTCTCTTTGATTTCTCTGCAACTGTTTTTGTCCAAGTATCTTATAGCTTTCTGAGAAAACACAATTTCAGATCATCTCATCTGAGAGCAGGATTTTGACAGTGCTGCACACTTTAAAGAAGAACCTTCTGCTGTTTAGCAGGAAATAATTAAGAAAAAGCCACACAACAAACTGTAGCAGCCCCCAAGGGATTACAAGGGGATTTAGTCCACGAGGCCAGCTGTTTCTACTCTATCATCCTGCCCAGTGCGGTTTATATGTCAAGCAATTCCCCAATATTTTATAACTTCCCATATTAAAATAGGACATTGTCTTTTTGCCTAAAAAGTTCTATGTTCCCACTACTGCTCAAATCTTCCTGTTTTCAGGAAAGCAAACCTTTAGCTATTAAAAACCCCAAGCAAAATCACAAATGAGGCAGTACTCATCAGATACTGTCAAGTGGCTTAAACATGTAGTGGTCTATGCTAATGAGCCAAGACTATAATTTAATTATTGATGTGAATAAGAGGAAAAGGAACAACTGGGAGGGAAGATGCCCCTGTAGATCACCATAAATGCAGTCCTTTGGATTATGTTCTCACGTGACTGAAAATTCCACGACTTAAGTCAGGGAATTCAAATACCTAAAGGGCCCAACCGGTGTTTTGTACTGAAGCACGGTTTGCATTTTGTGAACATAAAAAGTCATCACTACAAACATTTCCTAAATCATGTTTGCAAATCAGAGCTGGCAGAGATGAGAAAAGAATCTGTATATCAATAAGTCTAAATTTTACTGTAGACTGCACTTTTTTGGCATTTTTAAAATGTTGTACTTTACAAGTACAGAACAACTTTTTTTTTCCAAATTGATGTATATTCCCATGCAGACAATCTCTTAGTGTGTTCTTGTTTTTTGAAGTCTATGCAAACATCAAAATCAAGGTCTCTGCAAAAGTGACGTGCTCTTGAATAAGACAAGTGCCCCAGTTTCCCACACTTTGTTCCTAAAATGTCTCCCATCTACTCATTGTTAGTCTGATGTAAAAAAAAAGTACATGGGTGTATAACAATAACCATTGCCATGTTTAGTAAGCAGATGACAGTTTATTTTACTCTCAATTTATCAGAGAAGTTCCAATTTTTAAATAAAATTAAAATAATTATTAATGCAGAGCACATGAATCCTAATTATGATGCCGTTAGCACTCTTAAAAAAGGCAGAAGGAATGAATACCTCTAGGGCCTGTTCCTTACATAACTTCATGTGCCTCTCAACCAGTCTGTCCTTTTCTTCTTTCGCTGCTTTCAACGCATTTCTATAATATTCTTCAAAACAAAAAAGACAATCAGAAATCATTATCGGATATCCATTTCTCCTGACAACAAACAGATGATTGGCATGTTGTTCCCAAACTGGAACTCATCAGCCAGCATCACGTGCATAGATGCTCCACAGAAAAGGATTCAAATATCCTCGTCCATAGAAATTGTGTTCCTAACCCCAAAAGACAGTAGGGTTAACTACAAAATTAGAAATCTGAAGTGGCCTACACATTTCTGTTGGCAACTACAATGGCTAAAAAACTGAGCAATTCTCTGCTAAAATATTGGCATCTTAACACTAAATATTGTCTCTCAATAGCAGAACTCCTGGAGTCATGCAAGAGATTTGCTTAGAAAATTTATTTTTTAGGTATAGAAGCATATTGGATCATCTTATGCACATGGCATTTTTTAGACAGTAATTATACAGAACCTAATAATTATTCTGACTTATCTAAGCCTTCCAGGGGGTTCTAATTTGACAACAGGACGAAATGGAGAATGTGGCAATTACCTCAATGATTTGCTTTCATCCTTATTTGTGGTCATTATTTAGAAAGTATACCTTCGCCTAACTCAGTTTGTTTGGCTTCAGGTTCTACTCACTTGCTATTTAACTATTTTATCCTTCCCTTCAACTGGTTTTGTGCTATTCTAAATAGCCCACCTGCTGCCTGGTATTTTCTCCTTTTGAAGGAATGAATAAGATTTTAAGGAAAGCACTTCATACTTGTTCCAGAGGCCTGAAATTCAGCCTGGCTCTGCACTTGTGCTGCAGACAGCCTACTGCTGGTCTGGTTGTAAACCAGTATCTGGCCATGGACCCGCTGTGGAGTCAAAGGCAGTCAAATATGAAAGGTGCATTAATTGTGCATTAGTTCTTAATTTAACACTGTGCAAGCTGGCCTGCCTGAGTCAATCCACCATCTATAGACTTGGCAGAATGAAATGGAAGTACTTACATGCTAGAATTAATTCATCTTTTCATTCTTTCAGACAGCTAAACAACCTGACTTGTACTGGGAGAATGAAGAAAAGGAGAAACTGTTGAGACATACTCTTTCTAAGGAGGCTATTTTCCCTAACTCTCTCCCTGCAACACTGCTTTCACCAGACCTCATGTTAGTTTACATCTCTCTTCTGCTTTCTCTCCCCTCCAGCAATTTTGTTTAAAATGCCATCTCCAGACCAGTGACCTGTGTGGGCGCCAAGCCCTTTAGTGGTACCTACAGAGACAGAAACCTCTTCAACTACGCTTATTCCCTAAGCCTGATGATACACATTTGAGGAGTGGACAAGCCCTTTTTGCTGCCACATCACTCTAGAAGCTTTGTTAGGTTTGGTTGGCTGGGGGTTTTTTGGCGTCTTTTTTTTTGTAGGCTAGAAGACTGTACTTCCCAGCTATTTTATAAATTCAGTTTTAGGAAGTTAAGTAAAATAGTATGCTAACATCCAGCACTGGCAGCACCATTTTGCAGTATGTTAATTAGGCAACTGCTATATGTACCTCTGTAATAGGCTTTCTATAAATACACTTCCGTTCGACCACAAATTTTTGGCTCTGTACCCTGTGACATGCAGGAGGTCAGACTGAATGTTCTCACTGGCTCATTCTGGCATTCTATATAAAAGCCCATTCTCTTTTTCATTTCATATTTCAGCAGCTGTATAGCAAAGTTCTAAATGGATTAAGAACGTGGAAAATGCATAATGAAAAATATCAACCACTCCTGAATAAAGAAACGGGTATCTGACCAGCAATCTGGCAATGTAGAAAACACAGTGCAGATCTTAAGGATGATAAAATATGTTTCAAGAGACAAAAAGATAGCTAGCTGGCTCTTATCCACAGTAGTTGATGCCTGGTAATGGTTGGCACAGAATATACAGAGACCCTTAGAGCAGTGTCACTGCCTGTTACTACCAGCTGCTTGGCTGTGGCCATGCATACTGAGAGGGCCATAAAGGAAGAAAACCAGGACATCCTTCTCCCATTAGAAGCATGGGTTATGTAACAGTAAAATATTTAAATGATTTTAAGATACTGCAGCAGTGAAGAAATCGTTGTAAAGCACTCGGCACCAGAATACATAAGCTCTCAAATTAATTCCACTGTTGTGTCACTATTGAAATGGTTCCCAGTATTTGTATATGTCTGTTTTGAAGGGTCTCATACAAGACTACGCAAGGAGGAGGCAAAGTTCAGACCACTGGCTAAACAGCTCCCTCTAGTTCTGCATTTAAACCAGGCTGCTCAGTTCAAAAGACTCTGTTCCAAGAATGAGCTCACACTACTGTCCTGTCAAAGGAGTTTTCAACATGGGAAGTGCTTGTAGCATGATGAGAAGCTACAAGAGCATTGTCAACGTTCTCGAGTGTGACTGCTAAGGGACTCCTGTATGTAGGCGACCTAAATACACGTAGACTTATTTTTAGAAAAATGCTGTCTTCCATAATAATATTTTTTAAAAATGAGTTGCTTGCCTTTATACAAGAAAATAGTCAGAAGACAAGCTTATTACTTTCTTTAAGTGTTTGTAATTTCTGTAACTTTCTCAACTTCTTTAATAAAGGGACTTTTGCAGAGAGAGTAAGTTCTTCCATTTTATAGGATTATGCAGTCTCGTTTAGGCGCACTGTCTTAGAAAAGCTGATATAAACTACTATAACTTGAAATCAAACTAAATTTATAATTTCATTAATTCCCAGAAGTAATACATAAAGAGCTTGTACGACTTGCATACACTAGCTGTAAACTGACTTGCAGTCCTGTGATGGTCATCTTTTACTTGCTTGATGTCTTTTTCCAGATTCATAATCTTTTTGGCGTCTATTTCACTTCCTACATTTTTGTATTCCAACCAATAATCCCTCTCAGCCTCCTTTACCAAAAGTCTTCGGTCAGCTTCTTCAATCTGGGAGTGCAGATCTATTAAAGGAAGAACATCAAAAGACAAATTCCTTACCAATATCTTGAACTGATAATTCAAAATTCTTATGACTTCATCAAATTCTTTAATAAAGGTTCTTTCACTGGGATTGGAGAGAGAAGGGTGATTCTTCCACTCTACCATACATCACAACATGATGACCTCACATAGTGTCAAGGCCACCATCCTTGCTGAAAACAGCTTTATCTTATTCTGCCAAGGAGAGACAACATTTCTCACTGAAATGTTATAACCAAAGACACATTTGTCTCCCACGGAGAATCTCAGGAATGGCAGCCAGGACTTTCAACAATCAAAACTGGTCATTTTTGCTGCCATCAGTAATTTTTTTTTTTTTTTTTTTAAATCTTCCAGTGGAGCCAGTGTACAGGGCTTTCATAAAGTTCAGCTTAACGGAAAATACAAAGCCTTGCACAGTAATACACATCACTTGAAAGGAACAAAACAGAGTCTAATACATGAGGTCAGTTTCTAGAAAAGACCCACTTCCATTGAATTTTAACTCAGCTTAATTAACGGGTTTACTTATCAGCCTTCCACAATCTCATACTAGGCTTAGGGAGCTTAATTTTGGGGAAAAAAGGCTTTATGCTTTTTATGGAACAAAAGGAAGTTTAACCTCTATTTAAAAAGCAAAAAAAAAAAAGTGTTCAATCCCAACTGTGTAAACTGCAAACCAAAACTTCCATGAATTACAACATACCTTTCAGAAGGTGTTCTTCATCCTTAACGTACTGCCATACTTCTTTCAGTGACTCTTCCACATCCTCCCTAGTCACAACCTCCTTTCCATCTCGTTTTTCCTCCTCTTCTTCTATTTGTCCTAACGTCCGCCTGAGGCGCGCCTGCTGCTCTTTCTTCATGAGGTCGTTCTACGAAAGAACAACAGAAGAAAAGGCACGTGTTAAAACGTTTTCAAATTAGTTTTCAAAGTTAGAAACTCAGGTAATGAAGAAAAGGAAAAGGATGCACTGCAAAAAACACTCAGCCAAACAGCTGTTCTTCGTGTTTGAAAGGGATGGAGAGGAAGAGAGAATTTGCAAGTTTCAGAACTTTCTCGGTAACTCCAAGACCATTACAAGAAAATAAGAGACAAACGACTGCTTTGGTGCAGCACATGAACAGTCCTCTGGTGCCTGGGAATTTCCTTGTTGGTCGATTTAATAACAATATTTATTTGTAGGAGTTATTTATTCACTTCAACATTCCTCGTGACGTAGAAATATCAGACAATCAGGTCATTTCCATGGAACCAGAGTAGAGTCTTGTCAGAGTTGGAATTAGTTACACCTACTGATTCCACAACAGTCATATCCCCTTGCCCTGACCCTCTCAAGTGAGACCCAAATTATTTGAAATTACTGATTATGTACGTTTGCCCCCAAAGGACACCATAAAGGAGCAGATAGCCATCCCAGCCAAACTGTAGCAGTAACTATGCAATTGACAGTCTCAAACATTCCCCACTTCTAAAAGGATTATGTCTAAACCACTCAGAAATATTAAGCAGGAAACAAAGAAGGGAGCCCGAAGACCTGTCACAACATGGTTAAATCGAACAACTAGCACTTAAAGCATGCCCTGAAGTACCTTGCACAGTCTAAAATATGAAGGAGTACTTGAGAGATATGAACTAGCAGCAAATTGGGGGAATAACCATGAGACTTCAGAGAGAAGAGCCAAATGCCACTTCCACTGATAGTTACGGCCACAAATCAAACACAATCCAGGCTTCAAGACTGAAAGGAACACCAACGAAAGCTAAACAGATGGATACTTAGAAAAGCAGGGCAATTATCGGGCATCGGAAGGACAGAGAGACACTGTTTCCATGTCTTACTGCTATAAGAAGAGCAGACTGCAACTTGTTTAATTCAATTTAAGGATTTTTGAGCAATTTGGATTAATTTCATTAGGTAACTGTTTATATATCCACTTTCAGAGTTCACTGCTCTCAGTCATCAGATATTATGGTTCTTTATATATGGTTCTTTATATACAGTTCTTTAAAGTGTCACTCAGGTGTGATCAGTAGCTACATAACCTTGTTTCTAAAAATCACTCAACACAACTCTCAATCCTCAAGAAAGCGACTCTTCATCAAGCAGTTCTAAAAATTGCACCTAGACAATCATGTGATGCTCCTTCTGCTTGATTCTTGTAACTGAGTTTCTAAGAATAACTAAACTCTCATAGATACCTGTGCAATTCCGTTACCTCAGCAGTGAAGCAAAGAAAGTCAGCAAACCTCAATACTCGGTTAGATCTGGCAATACTACTGACAAAACTGAACTTAATACTGTTTCCTCTTCTGTGAACTGAAAGTATATTCTTGACTTCCCTGAGGAATATTTACAGGACTGTTTAAAAAGGCACATCTGAATGTACCACAGTAAAGTTACCTCCTGGAAGGTGGGCTCACTGTCCTGTGTTTGCTGCAGAGTAAGATGAAATACTTTGGTAGTTACTGAGGATCTCACTTTTACTCACTGCTGTGTCCAATTCTGCAATGTGCTACTCCTGCAGCTCCTTTTGTTCCATGGTTACATTCAGACATTTATGCTTTGTGTCACATTTAATTCAGTTGACACTTTAACTTTCAAGCACAAAAAGCGAGTCACTAACTCTGGTTTCATTGACTGTAAGAAATTCACTGCAGTCACTAGTTATAGTAAATGTAGTATTAGGATTAAAAGAATAAAATCGAATCTGTGAGTTAAAATATCACATATAAAATGTGTTGGGAGAAGGATGCATGGTCACTTACTCTCTCATGATATTCTTTGTTCTTTTTTTTCACTTCTTTCAGACCAAGCAAAAGCCGATCAATTGCTGCTTCTTTTGTCTCAATTCTGTGGAGAAAGAGTAAAGAAAGGGAAGTTCTTACAAAAACTGAAGAGAGAGGAATGTTGTTTAACATTAGATGTATGTTATTTAACATCTAGATGAGATGTAAATACTATTGAAACATTTATTTTTGTATCATATTCCTTGACTCATTTTGGTAGATACCGCTGTCTTACTACATATAAAGAAATTATTTTCTATATGTATCTGGACCTTCATGTTAGTTTGGATCTCATGCTCCTGCTGAGAAACAGACTCCCTGACTATACTGCTGCTTTTTAACTGCTAGAGAGGATTAAGTTGGTTTTTTCCTTCTGGATGTGGTTTAGCTGACCTACTGCACAGGTCTTTTTTAGAACAAGATTATTTGTGCTCCAAAAATATTTATTACTCATCACTGCAGAGGAAGCCTAGGCAACTCTCTCAGACATAGGGCAGAGGAATCCCAAATTGGAGAATTAAATGGAATTCAATTCTTCTGAAAATTTGGTTTGATGAGCTTCATAAACTGCATTTGTACACTGAGAGCTTGTTAGCTTTTAAGAAGCGCTAAGGGAAAAGCAGCCTGAGTAGTTTCCTTTAAGTATGTTTAGACATTTTTGTCCAAAAAACTAGCTCACTGTTTTCAGAATTTTCATAGACTACTCATCATCCTCTTCGCCACAGCTGTAAAATAAAATAAGCATTTTTTTCTGGTGTTCTCTCTTGTAGAATGTGAAACGCCGGGTTGCAAATGGTGTCTATTTGCAAAATTCTCTGTAATCTTTCCCTCTCTTCCCGGAATTCCTTCACCATACAGCACAATAGAGGCAAGTACTACAATTATCACAGTATCTTTTACTGTTTCAACAGCTATTGTTTCTTGGGTTTTTTGTTTTGGGGTTTTTTTGCCCATCCCTATTGTATTGTGGTTTTAAAAGAAGGACATTTTTTCCGGGTTAAGTTTAGATCACTCAGTCATGCAAATTGCAGGTTACTAGACTTGCATTCTCTGTGTGCTCCAACATATTCCTCAGGTTTTCTATCAAGTTCAAGGATATTAGTTAGAGAGTCTAGAACAGAGATACAGCGGTACGGGGGTGATGGCTACGGCAAAAATATCTCAATTATTAGACAGAGGTGACAGCTTGGCCACATACTGTGAACTCCAAAATTACCTGCCATTTTAAACTATTTCAGTATTTTGAATACTGACACTGATCTTAATTTCTGCTACTTTAGGATTTTCCATGAAGTGGTTGTCCGTATCCATCACTTCGTTGATGTCAAAAATTTATGAATTTGCTGTTTTGTCTGCTGCATATTGGAAATTTCCCATTTAGATTATTTTGTCAGATTCAAAGAGCTACAAAACAGCTAAATTGATGATTCCTTCAATTCTATTTTTCTTAACTCTGTATAGTAAGTTTCATCTAGATGATTCCATCATCTAGAAAAAACCACTCCCCTCCAGAACCATGACAGCTTCATTGTCAGCTATAGGATGTTACTCAAGCGAGTGATTCATGGGATTGTTGTTCCCAACCAACCAACCCTGAAAAAGAAAACTGTTCTGAAATGCAAAAAACCTTACTATGAACAGCAACCGTTCTTCAAAGTACAGAAGAAAAAGCAGGAATGGAAGTTAAATAAATACTACAAGTTTGATAAATCCTGAAGTGGAATCTGAAAGATATCTGCTTGTATGATTATGCTGTTTTGTTCAATGATGTGGTACAGAGAAGTTATAGATTATAGAGGTGAAAAGACAGAGGGAAAGAGAGAGCAAGAGGGAGAGAGAGAGCAAGAAGGAAAGAGAAAAAGATAAAAGACAGAAAAAAAATACTTTTCTTCCCTTTTTCCCCTACTGTTGTTGGAGAAACTGAGTATCTTCTGTCAGTACAGAACACATTTCAGTGGAAGACTTCAGACAAATGAGTTGTTCGCTTGGATATCTGAGTCTCCATACCCATAACTCTAACAGCAAGTAGTGGTGGTTTGCTTTTTTTTTTTATTCTCAGGCTAGTAACACAGTTTTCTTGTTTCTTAGCGAAATAGATGGGTTGATTTGTTGACTTTTTGGATGGTATTTATTTGTGATATGATTCGGATAAATCTGGTCTTTTTCCCTATGGAAACTTGTGCTGTGTAAAATAAAATAGAAAATCCCACATAAACCCTGGAAACATCCTATAGGTATCAGTAGAACTGTATGTGGTGCTCTTTGGTTTGCTTACCCTGCTTTTCATTTCTGCATCAAGGCAGTACTTCTTGCTCCCTAAATGCTAAAAATTGTTGAATATTGGATGCTGTTGAGGTTTTTCCTTTTTGATTTCCATCTCTTTGATAAAAGTCACAGAGGTTAATTTTAATCCTTTCAATCATCTACTCAAGGGACTGGAGATCAAGTAAATTGGACTATTTTGTAACTACTTCTGACATTCCCCTCTTAGCTTTTATTTTTCTCTGCTTGGTTTTAAGAAACCTTTAAGTTATCCTTCCATTATTTTCAAAATAAAACACTTCCCTTTGTGTTCCGCTCTCAGCTGCACCAAAGTAATTCTTAAAGACCTGGCTAGTGACTACATACCTCTGTGGACACCAAGGAACCCTAAAACAGAGTCAAATGTGATCTTGGCACTTGCTACTAACAGACAAAACTGTGGTGGCTTTTTTTGCTTTATTTTTGTTTTTAATAAAACTTTTTTTCCCAAGTTATAACTTAATGGCGTAAAATTATTTCTGACCCACTTCAGTGCTTTCTTATAGGTGTATTTTATAAAGTGTGCATTTCCAAAATAGCCTTGAAAACCTAAAATAAGACACAGAAGAACAGTACACAACTGCCACAGTCAGTCAGCTCAGGCTCTGAGTTGGATAACTTGTCTTTGTCATCTGCTTTACTAATTCACATATTCTATACGAGTGAAAAGTCAAATATATTAAACCTACTGATATTCTAGTAAGGGTTCTGGGAAAGCTGATTCAGGTTCAGTAAGTTGCTCTTCTGGTTTCTCTTCTTTCTTCTTCTCTTCCATGCTTTTTGTTGTACTTGTGCTAGAAGTTAGACCTGAAGGGAGGAAAGGGCAAGAAGAAAAGAAAAAAAAAAAAGAACTGAGAAATGAATGACTTACAAAATCTCATATGTTCACCAGACTCTGTCACTTGTGACAAGTTCTTAACAGTTCTGAAATAAACAATGTGTTTTGTTGACAACAATAATCCTGCCCAGGGTAGCACTCAGGCCCCTGATTTTGGGACAACCTGAAGTGTTGGGACAACCTGAAGTGAACAGTGGCCTCTATCACTAGTGATTTATTACATCCCTCGTTGTGGGCTGTGTTTTACATTCTTGCAAATCAAACAAGCAGTTGTTCCTTTTCCAGTCCTTTGTCTCTGTTTATCAGGCTTGTTTTATCGAGTCCACTTGTTAATATGCATCCCTCTCCCTCTCCTTCTGTTCTTCTAGTGCTATGAATATTTGCCTTTCACTGCAACTCTGAGAGCAGTTTTCATTGTCAGAGCTGGAACAAAACCACTCTCTGAAGGGATATGCATGTCAGCAGTATTCCCTGGGTGTGTTGTCACAACTACCAACCTCAGAATTCAACTGACAATGAATAGTTCTGTAATGGCACTGGCAGCATATATTATAGAAAATAAAAAAAGTCACAAGAAAAGGGCACTTACGAAGATTCCTCACTTCCAGCGGTCACATAACCAAATGCCAAAACCAGATTAGTTCATGTAACATAGGAGGTTTTATTACTGAATGAGTAGAAACATTGTTTATAACTTGTTTTCACAAGAAATTGCTTTTCTGAATTTTCACAATTGTCACTCTAATAGCTATAATCAGTACCAACTTGTCCTGTGACTAAATACAGCAGGCTGGACACTTTTCCTGTTAAAACCAGCACAAGGAAACAGAAAAAAAGACAGTGGAAAGCTACAGAGCAAGCCTGCCAAATCTATGTGAAATCAAGGGAATGGAGTGAAACCAGCTATCGACAGATGCACTCTAATCCATATGCTGGTGCATGCCCTCTCGCTGCACTCACCATACCCTGAAGCAAGGCAACGACAGCTTTCTGTACACAAAATAACTTTCTACCCTAAATGAGTAGTTGATGCCTGCTGATGAAATAACTGAGGGTGCTGAGGGCAGGCAGTGTGCTGTAAAAAAGGATGAAAAAGGAATGCTCACTGTATGGCAGCTCTACAAGGGAAGTGAAAGAAAGGATCAAGGTACCTTGGAGTCTATGTCCCCGTGCAGCTGCTTGCACCTTGGAACATCTTTTTCATAATGTTTTCTCCAGAAGAATTTTACTCCCACTCTCCTGGAAACTGGCTTGTGCAGATTTCGTCTGTTCTGCTGCTGAAGAAAAGTTCACACTCGTAGGGTCGATTGTCTAGAGCTGTCAGTCACTGTCTTTGTCCCACCTGATTATTTATGTCACAGAAAAAGCTAATTTTATTCACAGAAACCTGGAAAATTCTGACTCCCACCAGCAATGTCTTGAACTTCTGAAGTGTCCCAGATCAAAGTTTTAAGGGTTGCTCCACATTAGTTAAATATTTCTTCTATAGAACTTCCACCGTCTTTGCACCACCTGATTATTTATGTCACAGAAAAAGCTAATTTCATTCACAGAAACCTGGAAAATTCTGACTCCCACCAGCAATGTCTTGAACTTCTGAAGTGTCCCAGATCAAAGTTTTAAGGGTTGCTCCACATTAGATAAATATTTCTTCTGTAGAACTTCACAGTTCACACCTGTAGCACAGCGTCACCACATGATTTCAGTAAGCCTTACTGACATTTACCATCTAAAAAAACCCCTTTTGTACCTGAGCATCCACTTGAGTCTTTAAATATTTCTTCTATAGAACTTCCCAGTTCATGCCTGTAGCACAGCATCACCACATGACTTCAGTAAGCCTCACTGACATTTATCATCCAAGAAAAAACCCTTTTGTACCTGAGCATCCACTTGAGTCTGAAGCCATATTAAGTCATTAATATTCACAAACAACCTTTGCAGATACCAATTCAAGTTAAGCTTCTGTTTACCGAATACAATATTTTTCATTAAACTTAAAAATCCAATCCACATGACTGTTCTAAGACTGAGATTTTTAAAAAAGACCAAGTGAATTAAGAAAAAATCTCACTGAGAGAGGAGGTCAAGCACTTAGCTCCCCTAGACCCCTTTGACATTTCCAGCCCAAATGAACAAGTGCAGGATACATTTTTTAAGTATACAAAATGATCTGTCATCATTCTTCAGTGCAAAATTAACTGTGGTGGCATTGATTCCACTTTCATTTGAGCATTGATTTTACTGATTTTCCTCAGAAATGGAAGATCATTGCAGCAATCCCTAACTTTTTTTTTTTTTTAATGATCTCTGTCCCTTCCACTAAATGGAAAATCAAGTCTCCTGGTTAAAACTGGATACAAACTGAAACATTCTGAGCAGCAGAACTTTGAAAAGGTTTTGCAGGTTTTTTGCCAACTCCAGCCCCAGGTGAGCTCCAGTGATACATTTATGAAATTCTTCCTGTGCAGGGAGCAGCAAGAAAGCCTCCAAGTTAAATGATCTCTGTCCCTTCCACTAAATGGAAAATCAAGTCTCCTGGTTAAAACTGGATACAAACTGAAACATTCTGAGCAGCAGAACTTTGAAAAGGTTTTGCAGGTTTTTTGCCAACTCCAGCCCCAGGTGAGCTCCAGTGATATATTTATGAAATTCTTCCTGTGTAGGGAGCAACAAGAAAGCTGCACAACAAGGTAAAAAAAATATATCGTAACAGATTTGCTGGATTTTGCAAACCATAGAAAATATGCTTACGTGAGAGAGAAGGAAAAATATTTAGGGGGACTGAGAATTGACTGCAGATTTTAAACCAACAGGAAAACATTTACAGAGGGCAAGACTGATTTCTTCTCCCAGACAAATAAATCACACGGCATAATTCTTGATGGACCCCCATTATCCCTACCAGAACTTTCTCAATCAACAAATATACTGCCATTATATCGTTAGAAGAAGTAAGTAGATCCCACACACTGTGACCCAAGTACTGTGACTCTCCACCCATTGCAGGGCCCACCTGGATGGCAGCTCACCACCCATGTAAGCTCAGTCACTACCATCACCAGCATTTGCACCCACACTATTGCCCCTGTATCTCAAACAGCTGCTTTACCAGCAGCCTCCGCTCCTTCAGTCCCCATCAATAATTACCTCAGCACTCTGCGACCACACCATAGAAGCAGAGAATAATTTAGGTTGGAAAAGACCCTTGGGCCCCCATCAATAATTACCTCAACACTCTGCAGCCACACTATAGAATAAGAGAATCATTTAGGTTGGAAAAGACCCTTGGGATCATTGAGTCCAATCATCAACTCTATAAAGTTGTCCCCTACACCATATCCCCCAACACCACATCTAAATGACTCTTAAACACGTCCAGGGATGGCGACTCAACCACCTCCCTGGGCAGCCCATTCCAGTGTCTGACCACTCTTTCTGTGAAAAATTCTTTCCTAAAGTTCAGTCTAAACCTACCCTGTTGGAGCTGGAAGCCATTCCCTCTCGTTTTGTCACTAATTACCTGCGAGAAGAGACCAGCACCAACCTCTCTACAGTGTCCTTTCAAGTAGTTGTAAAGAGTGATGAGGTCTCCCCTCAGCCTCCTCTTCCTCAAACTAAACAGTCCCAGCTCCTTCAACCGCTCGTCATAAGATTGATGCTGCAGGCTCAGACCATAACCCCTTCCTGATCTCCAATGCAGGCTAAGAATTCCCTCTGCCCTCCTGCCTAACCCTTCTGTGTATCCCTTGCACGTATTCCCTGCTGCCCCCTTCATCACCAGATGTCCCAGGGGACGAAGCTGGGCCACCCCTCACAGAGCATCCACAGCCACCAGACCCCATTGGTAGTCACTCTGTGCCTAAGCCCCCACCCTTACTGCTCCCCCCACCTCTGAGCACCAAAAGCTCCCTATATGGCCCAGCTCTGAGGCATCTCCTCTCCCTCTGCCACCATCCACACCCAAGTCCCCCTCATGGCCCTCACCACCTGTGCCCCCAAGGCCTCAACCGTCACCGCAACGGCCCGGTACCCGGTCACCACCCGGGTTCTGGCTGCACCCACACACTGTTCCTGCTCCGGGCGTCTCAGGGGACGAAGTGAGCCACCTCTCACAGAGTGTCCACAGCCACCAGACCCCACTGGTACTGTCACTCTGTGCCTAAGCCCCCATCCTTACTGCCCCCCCCACCTCTGAGCACCAAAAGCTCCCTGTATGGCCCAGCTCTGAGGCATCTCCTCTCCCTCTGCCACCATCCACACCCAAGTCCCCCTCATGGCCCTCACCACCTGTGCCCCCAAGGCCTCAACCGTCACCGCAACGGCCCGGTACCCGGTCACCACCCGGGTTCTGGCTGCACCCACACACTGTTCCTGCTCCGAGCAGCCTCCCCGGCCCTTCCGCAGGCCCCACAGCTCCCGGCCCCGGTAGGCCCGGCGGTCAGTTAGGGCCTACAGTCAGGGCCTTACCGCCCGCCCCGCCGCGTCAAAGGCCGCCGGTCGCCATGGCAACGGGAGCCCGCGTTCCGCGGGGCGGTGGCGCCCCCTGGCGGCGGCGAGAGGGACCTACCGCCGGGGGAAAAGCCCCCCGCACCCCGGGCTGCATCCCCAGCAGCGCGGCCAGGGGGGCGAGGGGGGGGCTCTGCCCCTCTGCTGTGCTCTGGGGAGACCCCCCGGCAATGATGGGGGGCCTGGAGCATCTCCCTTACGAGGAGAGGATGAGGGACTTGGGTCTTTTTAGTTTGGAGGAGGTTGAGGGGGATTCTGATCAACACCTATAAATACTTAAAGGGTGGGTGTCAAGAGGACAAGGCCAGTCTTTTTTCAGTGGTGCCCAGGGATAGAACATAGTGCTGCAGTCTCTGTAATTAAGGCATATTCATTAAAGCAAGAACAAGACACTTCTAGTCCTATAGGCAGAGATCATTATTTGCAATGCATCTATGTTGAAGACAGTAGGGAGACACCGTCTGTGTTTATTCAGTGGCCCCACGCAACTGTTCAGATGAGAAAGCAAAAAAAAGAAACAAACCAAAAAAAACCCAAAATCATAAAGAAAAACCTAGTGACTTAGTGCTGCAGTCTCTGTAATTAAGGCATATTCATTAAAGCAAGGACAAGACACTTCTAGTCCTACAGGCAGAGATCATTATTTGCAATGCAGCTGTACTGAAGACAGTAGGGAGACGCCGTCTGTGTTTATTCATGGCCCCACGTAACTGTTCAGATGAGAAAGCAAAAAAAAAGAAACAAACCAAAAAAAACCCAAAATCATAAAGAAAAACCTAGTGACTTTCAATTTCCTTCTCCTGTATTAAGGATTGACTGGTGCTCTCAGGACACAGCAGCCAGCTGACACACAAGCCAGGTGTTGAATAGAAGGCAAGGACAAGACACTTCTAGTCCTACAGGCAGAGATCATTATTTGCAATGCAGCTGTACTGAAGACAGTAGGGAGACGCCGTCTGTGTTTATTCATGGCCCCACGTAACTGTTCAGATGAGAAAGCAAAAAAAAAGAAACAAACCAAAAAAAACCCCAAAATCATAAAGAAAAACCTAGTGACTTTCAATTTCCTTCTCCTGTATTAAGGATTGACTGGTGCTCTCAGGACACAGCAGCCAGCTGACACACAAGCCAGGTGTTGAATAGAAGGCAAGGAAAAAGAAAGACCAGGCTCTTAAGCCAGCTGGCAAAGATAAACACAGTCTTGACCTTTGTACTTTGTAGCTCAAGATCTTTAACTTGGAGATATTTAAATCCCATTAAGCCAAAAAGTAATGGTGCTTAAACTTGACTTTGCCATTTTTCTATTTGCATGGGCAGACAATATTATATCTTTTAAAAAGACTTGTCTTACATCCAGAAAAAAGAAAATATGATGATAAGTTTGCATCTCTATTTTGCCGGTTTAACAGTGTTTGCCAGGATCAGGTGGTGCTTTCAGCTCTTCCTTGACCCTCTGTTAAGAAGCTTGAACGTGGGTACCAGGGAGATCTGCTCCATGAAATGGGTGACAATACAAGATATTCTCACTGGTACGTGCTTTGCAGAGGGAGCTTTCCCCCCATCCTCCTTTCGATACGGTTCTGGAAAGGTGGTCAAAAGGTATAAAACTCGACTCCCAAGACTGGGACAAAATGCTCCTTCCCTTGAATGGGGGAAGCTGGGTTTTGTGACAAGATTTGCCCTTTCTTCTGCTACGTGGTCAGAGATGTGGTCAGAAACTGGGTGGACTGGAAGAAGCGGTGAGGGTTACTGCTTCTGTTGGCCCTTCAGCAGTAGATACAGTGCTGGAGCTCACCTGCCTTTCTGTGTGAGGATGGCATGTCGGAATCACAGAATCACAGAATCTTCTAGGTTGGAAGGGACCTTAAAGATCATCTTGTCCAACTGTCAACCTAACTGACAAAAATAGACACCCACACAACAAACAAGGAGCATCATCACTAAACCATACCTCCCAGCACTACATCAACCCGTCTTTTGAACACCTCCAGAAGTGCTTTGGGAAGAAGCAGTTCATCTACAAAAATGTCTGGAGCTGGAAGGATGGTGCTGCTAAAGAGGATGGAAATGATCTGTGTGGATTGCAGCTTCCCACCTCTCCCATGAGCTGGGCATGGCGAACTCCTGCTGAGAACCAGCTGAATCCCAGCAGCCTTTTGGTCAGAAGGGTTGTGAGTAGAAAAGAAATATTCCCTCTCCTCTCAAGCAAGCTCCTTTCCTCCAGAGGAAGAAGGGAAATCCTTCATTTTGGGAAGAGGCAGATCATGTCTGGGGGGGATGCTGAGTTCAGCAAAGCTCAGTTGGAGCAACCTCCAGCTCAACCAGGCCATCTTCAGGGCTGTGGTGGCTTTGATGGGCCTCCTTCACAAAGGCCTGGCTGGATGAGGCTTTGAGCAACCTGCTCTAGCAGGAGGTGTCCATCCCCGTGGCAGGGGGGTTGGAACTCAATGATCTTTAAGGTCCCTTCCAACCCGAACCATTCTATGATTCTAAAGAACAGTATCAAGGGCATGTATGTGGCCAGATGTCCTGGCTGAGAGAACGAAGGATGAATCTTCTGAGGTTATGTAGGTTAAAATCGCCCCTCCTCCTTTACATTGTCTCCTTGGCCAGGGAAAGATGTCACCACGTTCTGTTGTCCTGTGCTGCCCCTTCTCTGTGATGTCCTGCCCCAATCCCCAGCCTGGTTATGAGACAGGGAAGGTTTTCAAGCTTTCTCAAGCGTTGCTCTGCTTGGGAAGCCAGGGTAGGCACGACCATTCTGACCTGGGATTTCACGGTCATCAATACATCTTCCCATGTCATTTCAGCTCTCCATGGACCACAGGAAAGACAAGCGTCCTGCTGTGCAGCAGGCAGCAGCTCAGGTCCTGAGGGACAACTGGGCAGACCTGCAAAACCTTTAGAGCAAGGAAGAAGTCACCAAAGAGCATCTCCTGCAGAAAAAGTGAGGATTAGGAAGACAACACAGGCAAGGAAATAGCAGCCAGGCCACAGAGAGTTGGCTGGCTGTGTTACCAGGGAGTCAGTGCAACCAGCAGAGAAGGATGAAGTATTGCACATTGAACAGAACCCAGGGGTGCTTCTCTGGGACCCAGGGTCTCTTGGCAAGACCATGTCTGGAGGTGCAGCCAAGAGCCACTTCTGAGAGTTTCAACTCTGGTTTTTATGTTGCCTAACCCTCAGCTGGGGCTTGCCCAGGAAAATCCTGGGGAAGATCTGAAGAAAGAATGAGAATCCCTGTTCCTTCTATTGCAAAATACCCACGAGGGGTTTGAATACTGCATAAGCATTGGGAGTCCTGCTCCTCTGTGAAGCCTGAGATGGGGTGAAGGTGATGGGCTGTTCCTGATGAAGAAACAAACAGCTCTGGCTATATTGAAGGAAGGATGGACCAGGCAGACCTTCTTCTACTGAGCCATGCAGAAAGCCCAGTGAGAGTCTAAGGAGGCAGACGTAGAACCCAGAAAGGGCTCTGAAAGATATGGGACTTGGGAGCAAGGCAGAAACAGAGGATATATCTCTAGAGGTCCTGTATTCCACCAACAATATGTCCACCATGAGAAAGGACACAAGGCAGCAGAGTATTGCTAGCACTGGTTTTGAACTGGCGAGTCCTGCTGTATTCAATAAATATACAAAAACTGATAAAAGGGCAGGGGCAGTATGGGGTGTTTGGGCAATTGCATCTTTAAATAACTAGAGAAATTAAACTAAGCCTTTTACAAACACCCTCTAGGACTGGAAAAGAAGCCTTCCCTGTTTTGGGGCATTTCTTTCCAGAATTTTCAGCCTTGCACCCTGCGGGAAAGCAAGCCAGAAAACACAGATTGCATCAAAAAGGGGCAATGCAGAGAACACGGTTTCCTTCTCGGTGACCTTCAAAGATGGTCTGCTGAAGGTGCTGCTGAAAAAAAATTCTTATAGCAAAATTCACTCCAGAGAGCTGGTTCCTATTCTGACCCCATCCCTAACTCTGAGTTTCCCACTGAGCTGTCCCACTGGCTTGACAACTGGAAGAGAAGTTCTCATGTTTCTTTAAACTTTTTTTTTTTTCTCCTTGTTTTTTTTTAACTTTGGAAATCTGATAAGAGGGTAAAGCCACAGTGAGATTAGAAATTTCCATGGAAAGTGCCAGAACCATTTTTTATATATCACTAGGACATGGAGCTTTTTTTGGCTCCTTGTTCTGATCAAGCTTAAAGTGACAAATTCACCTTTTTACAGATATGTTCACAAAGAGGACAACTGTGACAGACTAAAACTGCGTATGGAAAGGAGGAGAAAGCACTTGGTTTAATGACAAAAGACTATCTAATTAAGCATGAGACAATATTTCTCATCAATTGTAAAGCCAAAACTATCTTGATCAGTCCTGAAGGAAAAGTGCAGTTATTCACAGACTCCTTCTCTCCTCCTAGAAATCATCAAACCCCAAATTAGGGCTTCAGGTCTTTTCCTCAACTGGCCATTTTAGAGCAGTCTCTAGCAATGCTGCCTAATAGCTCAAATTTAAAGATGCCCTGGTTGGTGGTAGCAGAACTTAGAGAGTTTTATCTCAGAGCAAAAGAGCAGGAAAATGATTAGGCCTTATTCGTGCACATTCGCTCTTTAAAACCATTTCTTTCATGATCATTATTATCAAGCCAATCTCTTTCTTACCACAGAGAGCACCACAAACAGCTAAATTACCCACACTCTTCACACTGTTTCCTTTCGCCGTTTACACCTTCGGTATACATTTTCTTATTATGTTTTAAAATATTTTTTACAATTATTTTTAAAAGATTTTTTGAAGCCTTATTGTTTAACCTCCCCCCATTAAAAAAAAAAAAAAAAATGGGGTTTAACAGAAGTCAGGACAGAGGATGCTCAGCAGGCTAAGGGCATGGGGCCTAGAACATCTCTCTTATGAGGAAAGGTTGAGGAACTTGGGTCTTTTTAGCCTGGAGAAGAGAAGGCTGAGGGGGGATCTGATCA